AAGATACATGGCTGTTTCATCAATTGCGTATAGTTAACAGTTTTATTGGCTTATGAGTCACATGCCATGTAATTCAATAGTTCACCCATCTTAAAAAGAATGGTACAACCTCACCACAATCAATTTTAGAACATTTTCTTCTTTCTCACACTCATTGTTATTAGCTCCCCGTTTTCCCCTAACTTCCTCTGCCATGCCACCAAGAAACCATTAATCCAGTTACTATCGCTATAGATTCACCCCTCCTGGATTTCATACACAGAAAAGCATGCAAAAACAAAGCATTAATAATAACAAAATTGGATAGAGAAAAATCTCAATCACAAGTTTTTGTTTTTAAATGCAAGCAGCCCATATACCCACCGATTGCGAACTAGTTTTGTGAATTAACACTCAGTAGTATATTGTGCATGGGGGCCCTGGTGGTAGAGTGCATTGAGCATTGAGCTATCAACCACAAGGTGAGCAGTTTGAAACCACCAGCCAACCCACGGGAGACAGATGAGGCTTTCTACTCCCACAAAGAGTTACAGTCTTGGAAACCCATAGGGACAGCTCTAGTTGGTCTATAAGGTCGCTCTGAGTCGGAATCAACTTGATGGCCCCGAGGGCTGTTTGGGTAGCTTATTGTGCAGGGAGCCCTGGGGGTCCATACCATCCTTAAAGCAGTAGGCTGCCAACTGAAACCCACCAGCTGCTCAACAGGAGAGGCTGCTTCCCCAAGATTTCTGCCTGTAAGCCCTAAAGGGAAGCCCTACTTTGCTGTATGGGAAAACTGTGAGTCAGAATTTGACTCTATGGTAATGGATTTGGTCTTAGTTTTAGAGCATATTGTACAGACATTAAAAACAATAGAGAAAATATATCACCACATGCAATTATTTGTAGTCATTTAAAAATATTGGCATCTATGTTATGGTTACAATCATAAAAAGCTTGTAAGCATATTGGCTATAAAAGTTACATCAGATAATACAACTGGTCTGTCGATGAAGTGCTATGTGTGAAGAATTTAATTTTACCCAAATAATCCAACCTTTGCCCTTAGTTGCTGAGAGACAAGCTCTAAAGCTATGGAATTTCCCCAGTGGGGAGCGGTTTTTGTTTGTTTTTTAATTTTATTTATTTATTTATTTTTAATAATTTTTATTAAGGGCTCATACAACTCTTATCACAATCCATGCATACATTAATTGTGTAAAGCACATTTGTATAGTCATTGCCCTCATCATTCTCAAAGCATTTGCTCTCCACCTAAGCCCCTGGCATCAGCTCCTCATTTTTCCCCTCCCTCCCCACTCCCCCATCCCTCATGAACCCTTGATAATTTATAAATTATTATTTTGTCATATGTTGCCCTGTCTGACGTCTCCCTTCACCCACTTTTCTGTTGTTGGGATCTTACTGGGGAGAGTGTTTTTGATGATTACTCCAGGCCACAATGATCTAAAAGGTTATGTTCATGATTTGACTCTTATGTGGGGCCTGATCAAGCCTCAAAGAGCCACCTTGTGGTATCAGCCCAGCCTCGGGAGTAAGGGGATGATTCAATCCCTTGATTGGAAGCTCCGTGGGCTTCCTGGCTGATGGTTAACCTTAATGAACACAGGCAAATAATGCATCCTTTTTGGGGACATGGAAGTTCCATGGTGAGGATCATCCCAGGATTCTCTTCTTTATCTGTATCCGTTCTGCTTGTAGTTGTAAGTGTTGCTTTCTCCTGAGCTCTGTGAGTTGTTCTAGTCAAGCATTGAATGGTGAATGGTAGAAGCGAAGAACAGATCAACCGTGTCGTAGCGAGTCTCAAGTGTGCAGCCAACATGGGAGGTCCTGGAATTGCCGTCCAGAGGCCTGTGCCCTTTAACTTGTACTGTCTAACCTCGCTCTGGGTGGTGTCAGAACAGAAGCAGAACAGAAAGGCGCAGGACAGAAGGAACTGATTTGGCTTGATCAACCTATTTGGCGTTGAGAAGTGGGATTTGAATCCACAGACCAGTAGAAATGTGTTGTGTTGATGCTTATGAAGGTTGAAGGGTGCTCTCTGAAATGAATACTCATAGCTTTAAATAAAGGTGGTCTCGTTAAGCAGGAGTCATCACACCTGTCAGTGGCTTGGGTTTAATCACAGTGGCTTGAAAAATCACTGCACAGCCTCATGCTAGACACTGTATTGCTACATAGCCCAGCCTAGCCAATACAAGGAAACCTTGGCTTCTCCACTACACTTTGACTTCTCTCTGGTTTTCTCATCATAGATCTGGCAAGTTAAACTGCCTGTCCACTGATGGTTTATACTCCCATTCTCGTATTTATAGCAAGATTGTTCTTATAGCTACTGAGGCTCAGAGCAAGAAACAATGGTAAGTTTTATATTCACTTTAAAACATATAGCCCAAGTACATTGCAACTCAGCTTCTGGTTAAGAGGCCATGGTTTCCCCAGGGTAAAGAATGTAACAAATGGTGTTTACTTTGTCTCCAAAGGATTGGGGATGCAGAATTTTTCATTCTTTAACTCTTTATAATTAATATAACAAAACAAATCTCAAAGTGACTACCATAGAGCCGATTCTTGGCCCACAGTGCCCCTCTAGGTAAGGGTAGAACTGCCCCTGTGGGTTTCTGAGATTAAATCTCTAAAGAGAATAGAATAGAATGCATCTTCTTTCCACCAGGGCTGAAACTCATGCCAGATGAGAACTGAAAAAAACTTTGGAGATTACTGTTCCAAGCTCATTTGCCCCTGCTTTGCTCTAGTATCACTGTTCCCCATCGATAATGACTAGTTTCAACCTTTACCAGTGCACTTATTTCAAAACAAAACCTAACAGTTTAGATTTGCATCTGGAATGGAATACATCTTCAGTGTCCCACCCGACTCACCACTCCCTTCAGAAGGAAAGAAACCTTCAGAATAAAAGTTATAGTCCTAGGCAAGGATTCTTCACGAGGTAGCCCTGATTGTTTCTGCTAGTCTCCCA